AGAATTGGGAAAGAAGTCCTGGTGAGAGGGTGACAGCTCTCAGGCACGGGCGACAGGGGAACTAGAGTGTCATGAGTGCATACAGAACTCCAAAGGACAGGGAGACATGTCCAGGGCAAGCGCATAGGGGAAAGGTAGCAGAAGATCCTGAAGAGACTGTAACTAGTACTAACTAGACCAGGCAGAGAGAGACACATTTCATATTGAGGGAGAAAGAATACTTGTCAAATTAGCCTGTCTCAAAGACTGAGAAAATTCATTTTCATTAAAGGAAGAATAAGGACTCTTTCCAACCCTAAGTCTACTTTTTGCATTCAGTTTTTTTCCAAAGACAAGAAAAAAAAATTCCTACACCCTTACGAATTGAAAAAACAGCTTGAATAATTATTTTAATCCAGTTAATCATCTAGAGAACTCGTCCATGTGAAATTCCCATCAGTTGCTTCTGCCCCTTTCTTTCAACATGTACATGTTGGGCGCAGCCTTTGCTGGGCACACGCGGGGTCAGGATACGGTCCCCAATGTACAAAGCTGGGAAGAGAGACTAGCTCATAACGTGCGTAGAGCGGCTGGATGCAGAATGGGGCTGGCCCAGCCTGTGATGATGCTTTTACCCAGCAAGTGATTTAAAATCATGTGTTTATCTTAAAATCTGCCTGGCCAATGACGACTTCTTCAACCCTTTTAAGCATGAGTCTGCGCTTTACAGATTTGAAAATAGTTAACGTCGCTTCACCAGACTCTCTTCTCAGTTCCTGTGATGCAAGCCTGACGTAATTTATTGACTATTTCACTTTTTTTTTTTAAATTTTTTTTTTTCAACGTTTATTTATTTTTGGGACAGAGAGAGACAGAGCATGAACGGGGGAGGGGCAGAGAGAGAGGGAGACACAGAATCGGAAACAGGCTCCAGAATCGGAAACAGGCTCCAGGCTCCGAGCCATCAGCCCAGAGCCTGACGCGGGGCTCGAACTCACGGACCGTGAGATCGTGACCTGGCTGAAGTCGGACGCTTAACCGACTGCGCCACCCAGGCGCCCCGACTATTTCACTTTTAAACACAGTTTGTCAGTATCCCTCACGAAACTACCATTGGTACTAGAACAGGACGTAAACCCCACAGCCAGCGGGCCCGTCGGTGTCCCGTGAAGCTGTTACCTCCTTTGAATCGAGTACGAAATTTGTTAATGGAAGATCTGTGAAATAGCTAATTCTTTGTGGGTTTTTTTTTTCCTCTCCTCTCATCAACTAGCCTTCTTCCTTAAATAATCAGCTGGTGTCTGTGGACTGCAAGAAAGGAAGCAGAGTCCCAGCGGACAGTTCCCAGAGAATGCTAAGGATTGCCGAACCAGATGCAAGATTCAGTGGCTTCTACAGCATGCAGAAACAGAACCACCTCCAGGCAGATAATTTCTACCAGACGGTGTGAAGAAAGGCAATGCGGATGAGGTTTTGAAAGACAGACGACGACTAAATCTGCTTTGAAAAGTAAACTAGAATTTGTGCACTTGCTTAGTGGATCATTTTGGATTGTGACTTGACATACAGCGCTAAGAACTTACCGGGACGGGCTCTGTCTTCAGCAGTGTGCAGAACAAACATTCCCACTCTCCTCAAGATCACTGACCAAGTGTTTTCTTAGAACCAAAGTTTTTCAAGTTGCTAAGATGTATTTGCTTGTAATCTAGCTGTAGAGGTGTTTGGGGGCGGGGGACAGCGAGTTTGGTTGGGGAGATGGGAGGGTGGTGTTGGGAAGGCAAATTGGTCAGCTTGGCTCGGGGAGAAACCCAGTGTAATAAAAGCAGCTGAGCGGCCCAGAGGACGCTTGCTCCGAAGTCTCGCTCCGAAGACTGCCACGGGTTGCGGCAAAGCCCAGGCCCGAATGAGCGGGAGACGAAGGCCTTGTGATCCAGCTGCCGTAGCCACCTTAGGACTGCCAGACAGCACACCAGAACCTTTTGATAGCCATCCCTGGTCTAAAGCCACGAGTTTCTTTTCTATACACAGACACGGTAGGTGGGGAGGAGGCGAGAGAAATGTGTCGTGGCATTTCTCTGACGCGGGTTATTAAGGATAGATCCAGTTAGACTTTTTGCTGCTTTTGTTTTCTTCCAAGCCAATCAGCCAGTTCCTAGCAGAGTCAGCGAGTGAACACGACGGAAGCGGTTTCTTGACGCGAGCACTGGAACCCCTCACCACGGCGCGGCGGGAAGGAGGGTGAGGGCGAAGGCGCCAGGTCTTTCCAGCAGGGGCTGTACTTCACTGTCTGTTGTTGCTTTGTTCTGTTGTTGGTTGTTCATAGTTTTTGTTGAAGCTCTAGCTTAAGAAGAAACTTTTAAAAAGGACTGTTTGGGGATTTTTTTTTCCTTATTATACTGATCCTACAAAATAGAAACTACTTCATTTTAATTGTATATTATTCAAGCACCTTTGTTGAAGCTCAGAAAAAAAATATGCCTCCTTAAACTTTAGCAGTTATAGGAATATTTATGTAACTATCTTATGCTTCAAAAAAAAACGAAAGTATTTGTGTGCGTGTGTATATAATATATATATGCATATATATTTATACACATACAATTTATGTTTTCCTGTTGAATGTATTTTTATGAGATTTTAACCAGAACAAAGACAAACAGGCATTCCATATCAATGCTTTTGATCACTTACAAATTTTTAATAACACAAAATTTTATTCTACCTGCAGTTTAACTGGGAAGAAAGATGTGTGTGTTGAGTGTGTGTGAGTGTGCACATGCCTTGTGCAGTCAGCATCACACCTGCGATGGAGAAGGTATTCCTTTATTAAAATCTTCCTCATTTGGATCTGCTTTCTGTTGGTTTTCAATTTGCTCACTGGCCAGAAACATCGACGGCAGGTTATCTGCATCACTAATCAGCTCCTGGATTTTTTTTTTTCTTCAAACAACTGTTTGAAACAACTACTGGAATATTGTCCATAATAAGCTGGAAGTCTGTTGTAGTTTGCCTCAAATATAACTGACTGTATCCTATAGTGTTAACTTTTCAAACAGCTCTCAGCACTTTTATACTAATTACCCATTTGTGCATTGATTTTTCTTTTTAAAATGCTTGTTGAGAAAGACACAGATACCCAGTATGCTTAATGTGAAAAGAAAATGTGTTCTGTTTTGTAAAGGAACTTTCAAGTATTGTTGTAAATACTTGGACAGAGGTTGCTGAACTTTAAAAAAAAATTAATTTATTATTATAATGACCTAATTTATTAATCTGAAGATTAACCATTTTTTTTTTGTCTTAGAATATCAAAAGGAAAAGAAAAAGGTGTTCTAGCTGTTTGCATCAAAGGAAAAAAAAGATTTATTATCAAGGGGCAATATTTTTATCTATTTCCAAAATAAATTTGTTAATGATACGATATTACCAAAATAGATTTACATCAGCCTGATTAGTATAAGAGATTTTTATGCCAGGAATGGATTAAAACTTATCAAAAAAAATTGTAAATGCTTGCTTTTTGTTTTTTCAATCATGGCCATATTATGAAAATACTAACAGGATATAGGACAAGGTGTAAATTTTTTTATTATTATTTTAAAGATATGATTTATCCTGAGTGCTGTATCTATTACTCTTTTACTTTGGTTCCTGTTGTGCTCTTGTAAAAGAAAAACAAATCTAATTTCCTGAAAAATAAAATAGATCTATGGCACTTGGAGTGCACTGTGGTTCTACAGTTTGTTTTTTCTTCAAAAACCAAAGCTGTGAGGGAATTATTTGCAACTTGGTTCTTGGCAACAGATAAACACTCTGAATCTAAATCACCCAAAGGACAAATCGTCCTTTTGTGGTAAGGTGGTCAGTCAACTGACTCTCCAGCGTCCCAAGCAGCCTCCGGCCTGCCCTCAGAGGGCGGCCTTGCCCTGGGAATCTTTGTAAGAAATCCCACCTTGGGGTTTATGGCCCACGACACTTGCTCTGAGGGAGATTTAGAAACCTACCTGTTGCCAGTCACAAATCAGAAATGTGTTCATCTCCTCACTGGTATCATCTCATCATGGGTGTGAGAAGGGTCGAGGTGGGAAACATTGGGAGTCTACCACTGAAGAAGAAAGAGTTTATCAAGCAAAATCAGAGAACTCTTCTTACAAGGGGACTGTGAGCTGAAAAAGTATCTTTTCATACGCTTCAGAAGGATCAGCTTAAGAATGAACTATAAAAAGACAATTGTTGAAATCTCTTCCCAAAAAACACATCCTCAAGGACTTCTCTCTAGTATGCCCTCTAAACTGGTATTTCCTTAGTACAGGTAACATTTTTACAAATTTGGATCAATTTAGGTTATTACTGTATATAAGTATGCAATTCATCAGTTGAAGGGCAAGGAGCTAGTAAGTCTCACATATTCACTATCAAATAAAGCATTAATAAAACAAGGGACCATTTCGGGGCACCTGGCTGGCTCAGTCAATAGAGCATGTGACTCAATTTCCAGGTTCGAGCCCCACATTGGTCATAGAGATGACTTAAAACCTTAAAAAAAAAAAAAAAAACAAGGAACCAGGTCGAGTTCTGCACATTCCTAGGTAACAGCTGAGGTGCCGAGCTGGCATCCAAGTCCTAACTGAGCTACTGCCTTTGCAGCTCTGGTGTCCCAGTTACCGGGTGGACTGAGGAATATGGATGGGCCCATATGCTCACAGACGTGTAAGTGGAATTCTAAAGACCCCTGACAGGGCCTCTCTAACTCTTCCTACACTCATGTTGTCTAAGGAAGGAAGCTACCTTAGCTGCTGGGAATGCCTCACAGACCCAGGAAATGAGAACTTCTGACCTTCCACAGCAGCCGGGGACAATCTGGAAAAGTCGCCCTCAACCCTCCTCACCATCGTGAAGCTAATCAGGGTCTCGCCAGCTCACACACTGTAGTGACAATATGTAGAACGGTAAAGGGAAGAATCTAGCCCTGCAAGGGAAGAAGACTTGTAAGAAATACAACAAAAACTCAGTCTCTCAAGCACGTATCACCCTTTTTCCCAATATTTATTAAATGGCAATGACTTGGTGGGAACTGGCCAAAGTGTTTCGTGACCAGTGATGTACGGGTGAGGCGCTGCTTCTAGAACTGGGACTTCAGGAAGACAGGCAGGCGTGAGTGAAACACAACCGGAGTGGGAGCGGGGCGAGGCTGCAGCACACAGGTAAGCACCTTAAAGGACACAACCTCCTTTGAAAGGGCACTTCTTCACAGACACGTGAGGCAAAACATTTACGCATCTTGTATCTTTAACACAAAATTCTGAAAGCGAATGGCCACTTAATGGTTACAGCTGGGGCAGTGGTGAAGCGCGGCTGCCTCCGTCCTCCCCAGCAGGGCCCGGCGACGCTCGCCACAGCATCTTCCCAGAACAGCCCACGCTTCAGCATCCGTCTCCCTGGACAATACTGGTAGGTAAGATTGATCCTCACAGTTCCCTCAGAAAGATCAGTGTGGGTTCTTGCCATCACTGAAGAACGGCCACAGTAGGACTCTCTCCATGCTTTCAACAAGTTCTTCGGTGCAGTTCAGATCTAGAAAGCCGCAAAACTCAGCTGGGCCTACAGTCAGTTCAGGAAAAATATGACTGCACCTGCGCAGATACTGCTCCCCCTTCCTCTACAAAGTCGGAGGAGAGAAGAGCTCCTAACCGTTAGCATTTAACAAAAAAAAAAAAAAACACCCTTAGAATTCAAAACCGTGCCATACTTCTCTTGGTTCGTGATATAAAGAATTAGTGAAAGCGTGATCTAGTAAGTAACACTGAGTCACAAACCCAAGTTCGCGTGTGTGGAGTCTCCAACAGCAGGAAGGGGATGGTAGCCAGCTTTCGGAACAATGCCATAGGAAATCTAGCCTGTGGTCCACGAAAGGGAAAGCCGCTCCTGGCCTGACGCCTTACGTAGGACACAGAACTAGAGGAAGAAGAAGAACTTGTAAACAGAAATGTAGGTTTTGCATACATTTACACAAGATGCATACATGTTTTATATACATCTTATATGTATATAAAAATACACAAATAATGAGAAGTCAATATTAATGCAAGGATCTACAGTAGCAACTTTTTTTTTTAGAAGGCTACACCCAACAGAGAAGAGTTCTCTCACGACACATGTATTAAAATTGCCCAGAAATGAGATACCAAAAGGCCATGTCTCTCAGGATATCACGTAGAGCGAAGAGCCCATAACATTCGCCCTATACCGTCCGGCTTGTACCACAGGAGAGGCTCCCGAGTAAGTGAAAGAAGGGCTCAAGTCTCCGCATGCGCACGGCAGCAACCACGCCCACACTGCAGCCTCAGGCAGAGCCTGGAGGGCAGGGTAAAGAAGCACATGTGAGGAAAAGCCTCCGGAGCCCACACAGCATCCCTCCCATCCTTCTTAGGCCAAATGAGGCCACTTTTGCACCTTCTTTCGTTTCAGACCTTTGCGTTTAAATTAAGCTGGTATATTCAGCAGCCAAGCCACAGTCTTCAGTGTAAAAACAACTATGAGGAAGTCCCACCAAGGAAGCAGAAGGAAAGTTCTCCCTTGAGCAGAAACCACTGCCAGGCCAGTGTTCTAGTGGCCCTCGAGGTAGAGGAATTGCTAACCCGCTGTGGACTTCCAGGATGGGTGGAAGAGAGCATTTTCCGTCACCCCCCATCCACACCTTCCCACGCGACTGAACACCTCTGAGCTTACACACACCCATTCACTTGTCCGGGGTGCGGAGTCACCACTGTGGTCTGCACCCTCGCTTCTTTTCCACCCAGTCCTCGTAGAGCCGAGGCAAAGCCACAACACATGCACACAAGCAGCTCCGGAGAACAGGTACAGTCTAGACGGGCTGGGCTCACAGGCTGGAACCTGTGGCCTGAGCCTGAGGAACAGAATTAGGTAAGTGCTGCTTCCCTAAGACACACGGTATAGGTTCACAGTTACAGGCCTGGGTTTTCAGAGGAAGCACTTAAACATCATTTGCCCCCAGACGACTCTGTTCTCTGGGTCATAAAATTCTTCCATGCCGGTCAAATGATAAAATAGCTAGAGAATGCTTCCGAAGCTTGTTCTATCTTTGGCACCCACGGCAGTGCCCCAGGGACCCACTATAATTAAAACCTGAGACATGTTCTTTATGTTCATCTCATTCCTGTGTCACATCTACAAGAACAAACCTCAGAACAATCCAGCTTTCATACCAGTGCTAGCACAACATAAAAGCAAACAAAGATGTCAGGTATTAAAAAGAGAAAGAAAAAGAAAGAAACTGGAATATAATAGGAAGTAAAAGCCCTCCATCAGAAGAACATGGCTTATTAAAACATTTCAATCTCTTCTTTCAACCCCCTCCCCCACACCCCTAACCTACTAATGACTGGCTCCACTTCAATCACAGGTGACACTTAATGTGTCACTCACTCTGAGCTCCCAGTATATTCTACTGAGGTTCCCTCTTTATGAAGCTGTGGTTGAAGAAATGTGCCATCTGAGTTACCTAACATCTCAGAAATCCCAACCTTCCTATGTTCAGCCAGAAACACTGACGGAGAGAACCCAAAGAAAAATGTTCCCAGAAGAGGACTGCTCTCAATATTGGATCATATACTATAGGATGCATTTCATGATGCTTAGAAAATGTCACCTGAATAACTGCTGATTTATAAAAAATAATTTCACTGAAAAGTGTTAGTTTTGCCTGTAATTAAATAAGTTCATCAGTTGCCTCTTTATTATCCAAATTTTGCTCTTTCCTCAGCAAAGTTAGTAACCTCATTAACTTCTCGAATGACCTTCCTTTGCCTCATCATTGTTCCCAACCTGTGATCTTGATCTCACTAAAATTTATGGTTCATTTTTCACTGTCCTAGTTGATGAAAATCCATTCTTTCTCTCCCTCCCGTTCCTTTCCCTTACAACAAATCCCTGAGGGACTGTTCTCTGACTTCACTGTCCCCTCTTTCATCCATCCTCATGATCTGTCCTTCTCTACTGTCCCCACGATGGCAGACACCACCCTACTGAACCCCACCCTGTGTCAGTCAATACCTGAGACACATAATTGTGGGAACGTCTCCATATTTCCTCCATTGCCTGTCTCCGTGCTTACTAAAGCTGAGCTGTGGAAATTACTTCCAGCTCAGGATCCCAAATAAAAGTTGCATTCTATATAACCATAATTCATAATGTGAGTAGCATAAGTAAGCCAGGCATCTATCCTCACTCGGCACAAATGAGAATGATAAAAGTGCATTTGGAAGTTACTTTCTTATCTATTAACAAGACGATGATGCATTTATCGACTAATCAGAACTTCCCAACCATCGCACATACACCATTATAACACTCACCTTTCAGTATATAATCAGTTAACAAGCTCGGAACCTTGTCACTGTCCTCTTTCATGGCACGAAGAACTGCAAAATGAAGGAGAGAAAGACAAGGCAACAATTTCAAACTCAGAGAGCAAATCTCATTTACACTGTAGCCTTCATTAATTATCAGGCATAATCAATTCATACAAATTAGTGATTACTTTCTGCACGCTAAACAACTGCAAATGCTCAAGAATGTACTGTCGTTGAGTAAGCCCTTATCCAAGTGAGAACATTCCTGTTACCAGAGACTTCTCCCAGGTATAAAACATCCAGACAGTGGAACCTGCAAAGAAGAATTGGGCTATTTACCCAGAGCCTCAAGTATAATAAATACTGGAAAGCGAGGTACCACCATGAGCACTTCCGTGAGCTCTGGGGAGCAGGAGACCCTCAGTCTGCACATCTCACAAGCGGGAGAAACTCTCAAATGACTAGTGGGCCACCTTCTCCAAGGAGTATGTCTGTCAGCCTTCTTGGAAACTTTCAAAGGCCAAAATAAAGAGCACACCTCACTGAAGCAGCACCCAGCTGCACTGCCTGCCCCTGTACTACAGAGGAAGCCCGGTGAATCGACCTCATCCTCAAGGGGCATCTTGGACAATTTTATCTCCAAGCAAAGCCAAATAGCAAGATCAGCTGCTGGGGGGCTTAAAAATCTCGACCACGCAGGAACAGAAACACATGAGCAAATGCTACACTTTCAGAGCGGCTGCCACCTCAAACTGTCCCCGGAGCACCCGGGGGAGAAGGCTGCCCTGCTTCCCCAGACATACGATGGAACAACATGGCGTCTGCTTGGGCTTAAACCCTGGCTCTACCACTTACTTCCCCGCTGTGGGCGCTCTGAGCAAGTTACCTAACCAGTCGGTGCACCAAGTTCCTCATCTGTAACACAGTCATCAGACCAGTCCCCAAGGCTGGTTGTGATTATCAAGTTACTAATGCAGACGTGAAGGACTGAGAATAGTGCCCAACACAGAATATATGCTGTGTAAGCATTAGCCTTTATTATTAACACAACTAACGGTATTCTGATTCTTATTACTGTTGCTACTGTACTTCCAGGAGCTTTCATGAGGAAGGCTGAACAACTATAAACGCTGCAACCGTCTCTCCGGGCTTCCGCCATGAACATCGAAAGGCGGCAGTGGTAGAGGCTCCGGTTCTCCCCCAAGTTTTGAGGAGCTAACTGCTTTTACTTCAAAGGGAAACTCACACTAACTTGGGCATTCCTTCACACCCCCTACATGTCTACTCAGAGATTCCAAACTGTGCCATCTACAAAGGTATCATCTAAGGATCAGCCTGAAGACACTCTGATGTGGGAATTATGATGTCTTTCGTTTGGCCAAGTCTGTCCATGCTCTGAGAATCCAAGGTCTTTCAGTTAATTCCTGGCGTCTAGGCAATATTTATGTTCCCTTCTCAGAGGGCAACTGTGTTCAGTATTCCTGCTTCCCATCGTGTTTTAGATTGGTTTTCAGTTCTATATAAAATCACGTGCCATAGGCTAACATTCTTAAAAAGTACAGTGGATTGGGAATTAAAAGACCCAGCCCTGTAATTAAGCATTCCCCTGTGTGATCTTGGACACTCATAACTTCATGGGTTGGTCTGGAAAATCAGAGGGCAGGCCACCCAGTTAATTTCTTCATTTTCTATTTCAGACTGGCTGGCATCACTTGATTTACCTGTATCTTAGTATAAAATGTTTTGAAAGTATCATTCACCAAAGGAAAGAGTAACAACTTCAGGTAGAAGGAGACAGGCAGGCAGCTTGTGCTCACGACAACCACACCTCCATATCCCTAAATTCCAAAATAGGTATCGTCACAAGAGGCATTCTTGTGATTCCCTCTTATTTGTTTCCTTCTTTAATCAACAGTTAACAGAGCAGCAAATCCAGTGCCTTCAAGGAAAACAAAGCTCAGTAATTGACTTACCCCAAATCACACATATGTTAATTTATTTACTATGAGGGAAACACAGCAAATATGTTTACCTTTGTTTTTCATTGTGACCAAGAGAGGGATAAGTAACATCCAAAGACGTTACTGTAAATAACAGGGATAGAACCAGAATTCATTGCTCATTTATGGCTATCATAAGACAGAATCAGTAGAATGTATATTTAGGTCTCACAAATTATTTTAAAATGCGAGCCTCTTGAAGGTGGAGTATTTTTGTCTGCTTTGTTCACTAAAGTATCTCAATGCCCAGAACACAGCCTGGCACAGAATAGGCCTTTTTTAATATTTGCTGAATGAATATTCTTAAAATATTACTATCAATTTATATTCTGCTTATGACTGTTACTTTGGGTTCTACGTTCCTAAGAAAGGAGAATATTTTCGGCCACTTTCTAAATCTTTCCTATTGACTTACTGACAGTCGTATTTACATAAGATCCATGAAGCACCTTATCTATTGATAAATGATATGTTCTTAAACATACAAGGGATGATGGAGAATCAAGTTACACTTTTTTCCTCAAAAGTTCAGCTTGTAAGTATTTCAAAAGGTAAGAAAAAGTACAAAAAGTACAAATCAACTCGGAATTCAGTGTCACATTCGATGGTACAGGCATTTATGGTCTCATTCTCAATAAATGACGACATCTGTCATTTACTGTCCCCAATTAACAAAACAAAACATAGCAACAATCAACCAACCAAAATCAGTATTCAGGATCAGCAAAAGTAAATAAAGTAACAGTTTCATTTTGGCTCTGCTCACTTTTTGTTAATATCTGAAGATCTTCAACAGATGGTGGTCCATTTTTTTTCTCGTAAGGAATGACTGTCGTCAAGTACTGCCAAGTTAAAAAAAAAAAAAATGTCACTTAAATCAGAATGACCTTATCTGTAAAACTTCGATACAGTTACTACAGGTCTATTTTGTAACATGAAACATGAGCTTCTTTAGTATGGAACACAGGTATCTTACTATCTCGGCTGTCTCTGTATTTTTTGCCTACCTCCATCTGCTTCACACAAACCCAACATTAACATAAACATATTTTTTACCTTTCAAGTATTGAAAATTTCACAAAAGTAGGCCTGAGGGTGATCTTTACAATTTGTTCATCTTTAAAGTAAAGCCTTATCTAACAATCTCCTTGCATTATTTCCAACATACTGGGAAAAGAGTAATTTAAAACTGAAGACATAGTTGCAACAGTTCTGCATGACCAAATAATTCCCAACAGCCAAATAATTCTGTTTCAGACCATTTTTTTCTGGTTGAACAAAATGGTCACGTGGATAACTTGACAACTTAAAAACACACACCAGCTTCTTCCAGAAGCTGACATAGACACACGTACCCAAATGATTTTAGAGGTGTATTATTATTATTTCAAATTACTTGTAAGTAGTTTCAAAGTTTAAAGGCGTTAAAGGAAAAGAGAAAAGTGAAAGGAGAGAATGGCCTGGTGAATAATGAAAATTCACGTCTGATACATAGACAAAGTGCCTCATTCACTCCCGTGAAGGCTCACAAGTACCAGTTCTGGCCTGTAGCTACATCCCATGGAAGCACAATCTAAAATTTACTGTCCAGATGTCCCTATTCTGGCCACTCTACCAAAACTATCTACCTCAGTGTGGTCTGCCTGTGTTCATCTGGAGAGCCACTGTTCTCACTTAGAATCTTTTCAGACCCACCCATTATTTAGTTCGTGTCCTAAATCTCAGCTCTAGTCCTAACCCTCCTTGAGTGATTTCACCCCTGAGTGATCTTATAATCAAAAAACAAGGTAAAATGGTTTAGTAAGAACTGGCTCCCTACGTACAGGGAAGTAGGAAAGTGAATAATTATTCCGTGTTTAGGAAACAATTCCCACCAACTTTTCGGTGTAGACTTCTCCAAGCTGATACCCCGTTGTGGAACTGAATGTTTTCTCGTGAATACACAGAAAGCAGGAAGCCAGCCCCCATTAGGCTCCACGAACAGCCCGCGTCAGGGAAGCGGGACTCTGACAGCATCAGGGAGCTGCGCCCCCTCGAGCACGCTCTCTGCCCACGCTCTCGGGCTTCCCACGTGCGGGTCACTTTGGAAGTTACTTTGCCGTCCTGGGCATCTGAGACAGGTGAGAGGGGCCAGAAGAAAAACGAAATTTCGACCATCCCTCACTGGAGCTGTAAATGTCAGTGTGAAGGATTATTTGATGTCAACTGTTTCCCTTCTTGAGCAATACAGAAATTATCTTTTAGTAAAAATCCTAGGCTCAAATTGGCTTGAGCTAATGTGAGAGGTTTCCTTTTTGAAGTGAAAATTTCAAATTGTGAAAAGTAATTTTAAGCACACTCATTAATGTAGATGTGTCTCCTGTGTTCATGATCCTCCCTAAGTCATTATACAAAACAGCCACACATCTGACTGCGGGTGTATTTACAGCCATGTAGAATTCTGTATAAATCACGTCTTGTGCCTCACTCGGCGGACAACTGAGTTGGCTGCTACACAATACACCTTAGAAGCACCTGAATTTCATTGAAAAGGAGGTAAGATATACTCTTATCAACCTGTTTGACCTAGAACTCTAATCAGAAAGATACCGAGATCAGCTTTCTTCCCCCTAAAATGACATCTTGTTTCTCAGACTTTTAGAATTACAGTAGCATATTCTGGTTTAGTTATACATTCTAGACATGCAGCTCATGAGGTCAATGCAATTTCTTTAACGGCAGTGGAAAATGGAGCTCTAAAACATGTACTAAGAATGCATTTAGTCTGTCGCCCAATTTGAAAAGTTCTGTTTCCTAAAGGGAAATCTATGTATTATCAGGACTAGAGATATGATGAACTTTCACTTCTCCCTTTTAAGCAACAGTCTTAGTAAATTAGTACAAGTGCCAGCTTTCAGGACCTTCACTTACACAGGGAATGAAAAAGCAGAGAATGAGGAAAATAAGGATAACCGAGCACCTGTTTCTCTCCACCTGAATTTCCAAAGGTGTGGCGGAGGCCATTCTGAATGACATTTGAGATCCCCTCCATGCTGAAGCGCTAAAGGCAGCAATGTACGGCCCAGAGGAAAAGGACAGAGAAAGAAGTTCAAAGACTATTAGTAAGAACGCACCATGATGATTTATGTGCCCAAGAGGCAAGCAGTTAGAAAATGCCACTACTCATTCACATAAAGCAAACAAAATCATGCTGTTTTTAAAATGTTTCTGCTTCCATTTCTTGCAAGTCAAATGCAAAAACTACTGCTTTTATGCTACCATATTCATAAAGATTTTCCCTCACGTAGCTGATAAATAAATTGGCTCCAATGTAAATATCCTAAGTGGTACACATATTTGTTTTATGCAAAATTTACTACATAATTTTTAAGATACCTTTTGATATTGTTTACCTACATTTTATCAAAAGTCTGAAAACTTAATACTAACAGTATGCATATTTTCAGTCTAAGTTTGCATATTTCTACCACAAGTTTGGAGAAACATTAACATAACATTTGGCAAATGAGAATGCTGTTACTTGGAGAGCTGATTACTGCTTCCCACTCGCTCTTCAGGCCACCTGCCATTGCCTTGGTGCAGAAATTACAAACTGGAAGAGTACATACATATGCTTTCTGGAGAGCAGAGTGGATCCCATGCGCCAGCAGGCCCCTAACACTTCTGCAGAGACTTTCCCACTGTTCCTAGGAAACAATTCTAGCTTCTTTCCCCCAGCAACCTCCAAGATTTCCTAGAACCCACTGTACTATAAAGAGAATATTTTTTCCCTAAACTACTTATCTTGATTTGTAACCAGTCTGCAATGTCATCAGACACAGAGAAAAGAGTCCAGTGGCACCTCTCTGGCTGCTGAGTCAAAGGCCTGAGATGGATTCTTACGCTGTGACTAATTAAGGAGGAAGGCATCCTGATTCACCAGCTGGGTCCCTCCTCTGGATTTTTACAGAGGAAAGTGGAAACAGTAAACACATTTGAGGAGTCAATATAACGAATATTTACCAGACCCCGAGGAATAGAAGAGGAAACCAAGGCAATGGTCTTTGCTTTCAAGAACATATTGTTTACCCGAGTGGTTCTCAAAGCGTGGCCCAGGGATCCCCCAGGGGGTCCATGAAACACTTCTAGGGTCCATGAGCTGAACATTACTTTCTCAGAAATACTAAGACATGATTTGCCTTCTTCACGTTCATTCTTTCATGACTTATAGTGAAATATCCCAAATGATAGGCTGAATGCAGAAGCAGATTTAAGAATCTCTCTTCGGTTAAGTGAGATATTATAACAAGATTGACAAAAATGCATAGCAATGCCATTTTTTCTCACTAAATTTTTAAAACTATAGTTATTTTTCATAAAAACATGCTAGTTGTGTAAGCATTAATGAATTTCTTATTGGTATTTTTAGACGAATTGGTAAATTTTGTGCATTTACCAATGTAGTAAATATCAATGTAATATCAAAATCTACATCAATCTACTATCTAATCTAGCAAATATCAATCAATATAGCCTATATAAACAAAAAGCTCTTTGAGGTCTTCAAAGAATTTTAAGAGTATAAAGAAGCCCTAACAACAAAAACCTGAGTAACACCAAGAGGTTTATTCTTTGAGGGAGTGAAGTAACTCTTTATCTGTCATGTACTCAATGGTACTACTGAAAACTGAGTACCAAATTTTACCATCTCTAAAGAACACGCACAACTAGCCTCTCCTCCTGAATGGTCCTTCCCCACCCGGTCCTTCCCAGATCGGAGGCCATTTTGTTCTGGCAGGAATCAAACATCTGGTCCAGACACCCTGATGGAACACAGTTCACTCTGCTGACAGCATAACTATTACCCTTGATGGAGCAGGCTAGTTTTAAAAGAAAACCTACAAAGAACTACTTTGTAGATTTTTGTATTTGTAGATTTTTCACATGCTCTCATGTGATTTGTTCACATTTTTAAGCAGATTCTCAAAAGAGACGAACTTCTTAGGCTCCAGAGTCCGGAGCCATTTTTTTTTTTAATTCTGTCAAATGTATTTTCTCTCAAAGGCAACAAAGAGGAAAATACTTTTCTATTCTAAATTAAATTTTTAAATTTAAATAAATAGTATTTATTCTAAAATACTATTTTAGAAAATAATTTTCTATATAGCCTGACTCCATTATCTCTATCTCAATATAGATTCAGAAATTATCAAGCAAGGTGAACAGTTTTAGCATCCATGCATCAAGAAACTAAGGTATATTTTATATTTGAACAGCATATTCTAAAAACACTAGCTTTACTTCCTCAGTTGGAAACCTAATGGCTGCCACTGCAAAAATTTAAAAAAAAAAAAAAGATTGATGTACATTCTTAAATTCCCAAGTTACATATGTAATTCAGGTTTCCTTACTAAGTGTGCCGCTGTGGACTTTGCTGAACCATTTTAACTACTGGTAGCCTGATGGCTTCTGAAAGATAGCTTTCATGCAACCAGAATTCAGGGCTGGTAGAAATAAGTGGAAGCGTAATCATGTGAAGCCACAGTAACCAGGAAAACCACAAAACTAATGGCTGATCCCAGCAAAAGAAATACAGGGACTCTCCCTAGAACCCGTGCTCCTGGGCTGATGGAAGCTGTGGCCCGTCGCCACCGCACCCTAAACAGGGAAGCAGTGTGGCAGCTGGTAAGCTTCTACTGCCTCCCGTTCTGCTGGGAAAATGACAGAACAGGAAAATCAAAAGGTTCACAGGAAATACAAAGAAAGCAGCTAAAAGATATATCTGAGAACATTCCTCCACCACTGCTCTGGCTGCCATCAATTCTCACCCCGCCAATGAACCCTCAGAATCACACAGTCGCCATCTCCTCCCCATGCTGTATTTTCAAACTCTTCCTCCTACCAGCTTATTCTCAAGGGCAACTTTAAGTTCTCCAACCCTTGGGCTCGCTTCAGCGGCACATGTACTAAATTCTCCCTCAACCTATTTGCTTCCCCCAGGGTTTCCTCAAACAGCTCTCCCCAGGTTACTTCTCTGATCCTGAGGTCCACGGACACTTTTCAGATCCCTGTGAGACAGACGGGGAGCTCTCCACCCTGCACCCCCTCCCCTGGATTCCTACATGCCATCCTCTCCCTGAGCTCCCCCTGCCCCTCTGGTGGTTCCTTCGGAGAGGTGCCTCTTTCTCTGCTCGGCTCTCATATGCCCCGTGTCCCCTGGGATTCTGTCCCTATTGTTTTTCTCATGCACACTCTCCGAATGTTCCCATTCCACCGTTTTAGACTTCTGCTTCCACAAATGTACACACAGCTCCACTTTCCTAAGATCAGGAAAGGGCGGAGAACAGCGCCTGGCACTGAGGAAGGGGTTCAGTAAACATTAGCCAGTTTTATACTACAACTTCCTTCCTGAGCGTCACTTGTGTGTTCAGCGGCCTCCTGGACATCTCTACCTGAATACTGCTAAAACCCATTACATCCAAACTGAACTCCTCTTCCTCTCTCCCACCAAAAGTAAAACACACACACACACACACACACACACACACACACACACACACACCACTCTTTAAGTCCTGTTACTTTTTCGGCATTCTGTATCTTTCTCATTCGTCCATCCTTTCAAAACACATGGTGAGCCAGACACTGCAGGTATTAATGACTCAAAATGAACACATCCACCAAATCCCCTCCTCCGTTCAAGACCTGATATTCCAGTAGAAAAGGGGTACAAAAAGTAAAACAAGTAAATGAACTAGATCATTGCTGATAATGTGTGTCCAGCTGATAGCTACAACGCGGCAATTAAAAACTGGCTGCCTATTTTATATCGGGAGGTCAAATAAAAGCTGAGGAGGTGACATCTGAGCTGAAACATGAATTATACACCCTCCCAGATGAGCCACAAAGGGCAATGGACAAAAGAGTTCCTCTCTGAGAACAAAACCAAAAGCAGCCCAACTGGCCGACCAAAGAGTTGGCTCTGCAGCCAGTGTGCAGGGGTCCTGTTATGCTTCTGCAACAGAATGTGAAATAGTAGCTACTGAGCATTTCTCTCCCCACCTTCGCAGAAGTTTTTATCGCAGCGGCCCTGTTCTCACTCCATCTTTGTGGGTGGATGTGCTAACACGGCAGGTTCACCTCTGCATCACAGGGGTTACATCCAGCGCCAACAGGAAGGGCAGGCGTTCCCCAAAGATGCCAGGCTTGAAGCCCGATGTGGTTGCTGTTGACAGACCTATACATCTCCCTTTGGGGAAGGGGTACATGTGTTCTAGCTACGCTTGCCCAAGTCAGGGATCAGTGACCCGGCGCTTGATCCTCTCTTCCCTGGTACCCAATGAATAGATTCCACCTCTCTCGTATCTCTGAAATTCAACCATTTTCCCACCCCCACTGTAACGTCTAGGCTCATTTCCTACCTGAATGAGTGCAACAGCCTCTGAGTCAATTTCTTATCTCTAGTTGCTCCCTTCCAATTAGTTCTCCTTGAAACACTGAAGTTGCCCTTCCAAAAGACAGATCTGAACATGTGATGATCCACTTAAAACCTCTTTTTGGTTTCCTACAGCCTTTACATAAAGACCCAAATGCCTTAGCATGACATACAAGGCTACCACTTCCAGGCTCTTCTTTGCTACCTCCTCACCCTCTTCTTGAGGTTTGTTCCCTCTCTCTCCCTCTCTCTCCCCCTCTCTCTCTCTCCCTCTCTCTTCCCTCTGTCTCTCTCGCTTTCAGCATTCTCTCTCAACATCTAGCCATAATGAACAACCTGCAGGGCCCCAGATGGCCCTGTCACCTCTAGATGGCTGCCCACACCACTCCCTCTGCTTACCTTTCCTGTCCTTTCTTCTTGCCCTCCAGATTCAACTCAGCCTTCCCAGACACCCAAACCAACCCAGGGGCACTAGTAACGTATCCACACCTGTATCATGAGACAGTGCCAGGCACTAAACACATCAAGAACATGGTAGCTGTTTTGGATATAGCAATGATCACTCTATACCTAGGTTTCTCAACCTTGACAGTACTGACATTTGGAGTCAGGTAGTTGTTGATGGG